GAGAAGTGGAGACAGAAGCTTAAGCCTCCTTAACTACCTCCTGTTTACTCTGGTTTTGGCCAGTAGCATCTCTCTATTTGGGCTTCCTAATCATTGATGTTGTGAGTAATCTTGAAGCTTTGTGCATGATTTGCAAAATAGCCTGGCAAACAGGCAAAAGAAAATAGAGCAAAGTAATTTTTGTGCCATCTCGATAAAAAAGGAAAGCCTACACACCCTGCATACAAAGATTCTTTTATATATATATATTTTTACAGTAACGTTTTAGAATAAAATAGGTGCCTGATATAAATTGATGTAAGTTTTTGAGGCCAGTGGCATCAGTTCATAGCAGTGAAGATGTCGCTTTTTGTCTTCCAAATTGCCTTTAGCAAAAATACGATTTTTTGAGTTGGATTTGTTGAATTCATTAATGCATTCTCATAACTTTAAAATACTCTGCTGAAGCAAGAGCATCCTTGTATTAGCAATTAGGCCTACTTAGACATCTAAGAATGTAATGATTCCAGCTGCAGACACAGTTTTGATACCTGTGCATGTGAAAGATAAAGAGGTGCATATATTTTTATATATGCACAGTTTTGAAAATCTGTAAATCTAGGAGTTCTGTGAAGCACTCAGTAAAATGCATATCAAATGCAAAAAAGCATATTGCTAAATCTCTCTATGTTAGGTAGTTATCTTTTTTTTTTTATTATTTATTTGATAACCATGGAAGATTGGTGGCTGAGTATGGACAGATAGACTTTGGAATGTGGGGAAAAAAAATTATGACTGTGATAAAAACAGTTTAATTCAAGATTATTCTTAGATGCTTAAGCTAGTGCATGAATCCAACCTCAGTACATTAATTTGTGATACTTAAAAACAGCTAATGTGTTTTGTTTTATTTGTTATTTGGTTGAGCAGATGGTAATGGTTTTGACACAATTCAGTTTTTTATTTTTCTTCTCTTCTTTTCTTGAAAAAGACAAGGCTCTTTTTCCCACTTTGTCACAGCTGGTTACCAATCAATCTCAATTCACGGTACAGTGATGATAGCACATGTTGTTCAGGGGCCAAATCTGATTGGGTTGCATTTTCAGCAGTGTTTCATATCAAAAAAAATTGTGTCTGTATGGCAGTGACTGTCAGCACACTATTGTACAACTGTCATTAATCAAAACTAGCAACAATGAATGCATTCATATGTGCCAGAGACTGCCAGATTTCACTCAAAATCACCCAATTTCTATTAGAATTTCCTCACCAGCAGTGTTTTCTCATCTGCTTGTTGTTTCTCTGTTTCTTTTTTCCTTTCCAGTTCCCTGCTCCCCTCGTTCCTTCTTTGTTAATTAAAGGCAGACCTGCTCTAACTATTACTTGTAGAACAGAAATTATGTAACATGGTGCCCAAAAGTGGCTGGTTTATGTCTAGGCACAGGCTGACTAGCTGTTAAAAATACCTCTCCCAGCTCAGTCTGATGGCTGAAGTCTAAGCTGAACTGGAAGGCTAAGCACCTCTAAATGTTTGACAAAGAGAAGTAAAATCAATTAGATGGCCATAAACATGGGAAACTGATGTCTGATGCCCTACGTTTTTAGCTGAATGTTGGCATCAATTGGCTAGGAGTCAGCAATATTTGGTCAACATGTCCGAAGGTGTTTCTTGACACTGCACATATTTCAAAGGCATTGCCTTCTTAGTGCATTGGCAACGTTAGGACCAACTTAACCAGTACGCTCTGTTTTTCTGCTCCATCATTAATCCAGGAGCCTGGTAACTTCTCTTTGTGATTGGTATTAGCAGTCAGAGAGGCCCTGATCCTGATTCCCAAGTGTTCGGTAGCACTAATCCAGATTGGAGTGAACTTCTCCAGAAACTTGGGTGGAAACTTCTTACTATGGGACTATGAAGCTCTGGGACAGAGAGGAGACGAGACACTGTTTGAGACTGCACAGGTGGATGCTTGAGAAACTGAAAACAGATTCAGGCTTCACTCCTTGTTACTTCATGGTCTTTTTCTCACACAAGCTCCTGTGGATCAGACTAAAAACCAGTTTTCTTCCTCTTTCCTTCCTGCCTGCTTCATCTGTCAAAGCTCGTCACTGAGCCGTGGTGACTTCTGGGGACAACGTGGGTGGAACAGATGACTGAGGGGCAGCATATCAGTACTTCAGGACAGCAGATGGTTATAATGTCCCATGGGTCCATCTATGCATGAATCTAATTGCTAGATGGCAGGTTCTGTCAGGGTGGTCCAAAAATCCAGTATGGCCTCGTTGGAGAAGCAGACTGGGAGAGCTGGACGTCTCCTTGGAAGTAATTCATAACTGGGCCATGATAATGACATGTTTACGCCACCCTCCATTTCACGACCCGAGTGGGAGGCGATGGCTGTTCCCTCACTCTGCGTCCTGGCATGCCATGCAGCTGGCTCGTTCCCCCAGCAGCCTTTGCACAATTTGCATGATTGGCAGGTGCAAGCATAAAGGCTGTCGAAGCCTCCAAGGCAGCTGGCTGGCATGCCGGCACCAGCACATCGGTGAGATGAAGAAGAGCGAGTCAGCTGCAGCCCACAGCAGACTGGAGGGCCCTGTCCCAGGTTGCCTGCTGCATCCCAGTTCAAGCAGCCGCTCAGTCAGATACAGTCCTGCTGCCTGTCTGTTTTCATCTCGGCAGCGATAAGTGAACCATAGGGATGTTATTTGTTCTAAAAAAAAAACAGAAAAAAAGCAAGGAAATAAATGGCTAATCGTTGCCCAGCTTTATAACTGTGGTTCCTATATGCAACTCATATTTATGTTACAACTGATCTCAGTTTTCCCATCTTACAGGAGCTGAATACGACTTTATATTTTTAGTGCCCTAGGGCTGGCCTTATGTCAAGAAAATAAGCATTTTCTCTTGTCTGCAACTCTGTGGTCGCCAAAGACAAATAACTGCTCCATCGTTGTGGGATACTGTTGTCATACTCTGGAGATTTTTAAGGGAGACAATTTGCCTTTTCTCTCTTATGAAAACAGTGATTTCTGTTTGCCATTGGCTAGTGCAGCACAGCATGCAAAATGACATAATTTGTGCGCAGTCAAGAATAAATGTTCCTCAACATCACATGTCTGTTGAATGTAGTTGCAATAAATCTGTACTGCTCTAGAAATTGCATATTAAGTTCTCTAGTGTCATAACTTTCCCCCTGCCCAATGGTACTATGCTAACAAAAAAATTGTCCCTGAAATTTTCTGAAGTTTGCCATGGCATCTACGTATTCTTCCCCTTGCCATATCTCTTGTTCCTTAGTTAAACCTGAGATACTGCATATAGATATAATTAAGTGTAACTTCTAACAAAAGGGATATTATATGCGTTTATCTGACAGAATGGTTAGCCTCAGTTTGATTTTTTTTAATTTATTTTTTGCTAATGAGTAGAATGGACTTAGTGAATATAGAATGAAACTGTATCGTATTGTGGTGAGTGTGAAAAGATTTCTTGGCTCCTCTTTATTCCTGGAATTGCTAGCAATGCTCTAATTGATGTTGTGAGCTTTAGACATAACAGAACTTTAAATGTTTCAACATACAGGATCTTTTGAGTTAAGATGCTTTAAAGTCTGTTAGCACACAGTGCTCTCTCTACAAGTCTATACTAAAAGAACCAACAGCAATGTACATTATGTACACAGAAATTAATGTTTCAGATTCCCAAAGCATTTAAAAATATTCATAGAACCTCACACCATTCCTATAACTAATTGCATTACATTCTTATTCATCAAAACATTTAAGGATGCTCTTTCATATGATTTCAGTATGTTTGCTGAAGAAGTCAACAAGGTCTTTACTGTGTAACAAAGAAAAGGTAAATTAGTTGTTCTGAAGTTATGTCATGAGTGTGTGTACAGTGAGAAAGAGTATTGATGTCTCCTGAAGTCTTGGTCTTTCTTTAGTTTTGGGTTCGTATTTCACTATTTTATACATGAGAATCTGCACATAACTCTAGATTCAAGGTGACTTAAGGTATCATGGGCTTATTACGTCTAGAAGAAATGCTGTTGAAAATAGTTTTGAAAGAGAGTATTTCAGGAATAAAATATCTATGCTGAAAATCAGGGTTTTCCTGATTTTAGAGCCAAAGACATTTCATACAAGATGGAGTGTCCCGTTGACTTTAATGAGCTTTGGATAAGAGCCTAAAATAGTTTGTTAAGCATGACTTCTGCAGGATAACAACAATTTAACTCAAAATATTTTTCTGGGTATAAGCACTCTAAATGCTTGAGAGTGAATACTCACTGCATGCTGAAGTACTTTGTATTATTTCAAATTTTATACACCCTCATAGTTTTAGAAGTATTACAACAGTAGAAACAAAGACATGGACAAAGCACAATTGGATTGTTTCTATTTTTTTTTTTTAAGAAAGAGAAAATGTTATTGTCCACCCTTAATGAATCATTTTGTAGTATTTCTGTGAAATTGATAAATCTCCTTTAATATGCCTCTTCAATAAAACACACATTCCAGAGCTTAAATATATTTTTTATTGTTTGTAATCATGTAGTGTCAGATCCTACCATCATCCTCACAGTTTCCCTAAGGGGTTGCTGCTGTAGAGAAAAACTATATATAAAGGGAAATTTCCAAATGAGCAAAAGGTAAAATGTGCTCACATAGTTAAAGGCATGATAAACCTGAGCTGTCATGTATTGATAACTGATGTCTGATAGCTTAATTTTATCTTATTGCTCTAGATCAAGGACAAAGTGAATGATATTATTAATAAAGCCCTCATACTGAGTGAACATAGCAATACTAATTTTATGTAAAGTTTCTAACTAATGCAGAGTGCAATAAAACTGTCATGAAGATTAATGCTTGGTGGAATTATCTAATGCTAGATAATAATTTATCTTCCAAAGTTGGCTCCAAGATAGATTCAGCTGGCATATTCCAGGTGAGAGTTTTCGTTCATTTCTGTTGTCTACAGAAAGAGTTTTCATTCTTTTTCTGTAACGTAGGTATGACATCAAGGATGACTACACTTTGCGCATTAAGAAGGCCATGAGCACAGATGAAGGAACCTACACGTGCATTGCTGAGAATCGAGTTGGAAAAGTGGAAGCCTCTGCTACCCTCACTGTGCGAGGTGAGTGCTGCCGTGGAGGGAGGGCCTGTGTCCTGTAAGGATAAATTGCTTTCTGACAAAATGGGCCACATCCTTACCTGGCATGGTTTGGGTTTCACATACCCTTTGCAATTGCGGGTGCTGCTCTGATTTACAACAGAGGTGAAATCCTGGTCCTGTTGATATCTCAGGCAAAATTTTAATTGACTTCAATAGGATAGGATCTCCCTGCAGCTGAAGAACTGTTTCAATGGTTTTTTATTGAAAAACAGATGTATATACATGCATAAGCAAACACTACATAACCATGGGCATAGACTTTAATATGTAAGCTGTCAGTTTAGGCTATTATTCAAGTTCCTTTCTCTAATAAGTATAAGGAATATAGTAAGTAACTTTGTTTATTAATGCCAAACGTAACTCAGATAATATTATTATGTGATCAGCTCTGCCATGATTAAACTCTCTACTATTACTCTTTATCTGAGATAAACCCTAGCCAAAGGAAAAAGAAAATCCTAATTAAATTTTGTAAGTATTACAAGGTAGAAACTAACATATTCTGTCCTAAAGTATTCTTGGTCTCTAGTATTCGCTCAGTGTTTATGTGCTGCTGTTTGATGTGGTAAGGAGGTTTTAAGACACACAGAATAATGAGTTGCCAAAATGTCTTCTATGACAGTAGATACAGTCATGCTAAAGATTATGGGGAGAAAAAAAGTTTTTAGGCTAATATTTCGATATGAGTAAATAGAATATAATAGTTATTACTTCATTCCAAAAGATAAGCAGTAATTTGGCACAATGGATATCAAGCAGACACTATTTCACAGTTTAGTGGTGCATGCTGGCGGTTTTCAGTAGAGCTCTGAAAGGTTAATAAAAACATTTTTAGCTTTATCTGTTCTTCTCTTTTCATACACATTAAATCAAATGTTCAAAGTCTCAATGGATTGCTTTATTAGAACTGGGGTCAACTGACCCAAGAGGCCAGCTTCCATTTCCATCCATTTAATGCATGGACACAGTTCAGTTTAATTTGCTGAATTCAAAGGGAAAAAAAAGCACTGAGTGGCTTCGTAGGGGGGGAGATGTTAGTATATAACAAAGAAAAGAGAGTATCGTGATAATCCATCTGCTGAAATATTACCTCAGTATTCACTTTAGACAATAAGTGATAATGCAGCTCTTCCTGTTTCAAGCTGAAGAAATAGGTTTACCTGCAACGTGCTTGTGTAAGAGATTGTTCTTCCATTTTGTAATGTGAGAAAAATAGTCACTACAGCGAACGCCCAGAAATACTCTTAGTCTGTTCCTTTGTCACAGGCAGAATCATGGTATCCAATAAATCTGGCAACCAATTCAACAGCCTTTAAACACTCCTAGAACGGTGTCCGCTGTATACGTTACTGGAGCAAGGCTTTCAGATTTGCTGCCCAGACTTGTGATATAAACAATAGCTAGAACCAAGCAAAAAATCCTTTGAAATCACTCAAGCTTGAACCGGATGAAATTAAGGTGCAAAAACCCAAGGAAATATATAATTTAATCGATTTTCCTACTGTAAAAGCAGCTTTTCATTATCTTGGGTATTTTTCCCCCGAGTTTGTCTTTTATAGCCAAATTCATAGTATTTATCCAACACAAAGAAAGCCACAATGTTATAAACATATTAAATGTTCAGGATATGCTAGAAAATGAGAAAAGTGAAGAAATTCAATGGAAAAGGTTATAACTCTGAATTTTCTGAAAACAAAGGATTGACCAAACGCTCATTGACTTGAAAGGGACTGGGAACAAAGGTCATTTTAATTAAAGGAAGCCTTAATTCTGAATCGTAACTTTTGCCAGTTTTGTCTGAAACTGCTTTTACCATAACCGCTCATCATGTAGAGAAGCAAAAACATAGCACTTCAAAATTTACTTTGAGGGTGCCTTGGTCCTTGCATGTGTTGTGTAGTTACAGCTGCAAACCTGGTAACAACAGCATTATCCTTGGCTCTCTCATTCATGGCTCCATCTTCTCAAAGCAGGGGATAAGGATGCAGTCAGGGAGTTTGTGTTATACTGTCACAAATGATTAAAGAATTTGAATTCTCCGATTCAGCCTTTATGCCCTCTCTTGGAAAGGTGCACATCACTCTCATTCCTTATCTCCCTGCAGAAAAAGGAATATGTCCATAATAGTAGAAGCCAGAAAGTCTTCAAATAGATGATGGGTGAGAATGGGCAGCAGGCTTGAAATAGTTAAATGAAATGAGTATGCCATAGTAAGGATAAAGCCATTGAAAGATTGAGAACTAAGAAGGTTCCTCCATGCTGTGTTACCTCTGAATCTGCATGTCTTACATTTGACTCTAGCCTGCACATAAGCATGTAGAGCTGGTTATTTTCTTAAGAAGGAGAAAAAGAAAAAAAAATTGTGCTGTTACTCAGAAACGTGGAACTACTTCTGCGGCCAAAATAAGGCAAGTTTCACCTACCCAGATGCAACCTGGAGTTAATTTTGTGTCCAACTTTTCAGCTCTTCTGAAGGGGATGTCTATATTTTATTAACAGAGGGACTGTCAGCCCTCTTCCCCGGCACAAGTATAATGAAGGGCTGTTGCTGTAATCAAGAAATCACTTGTTGCAGCAGCAGCTTTCAGTCTTGATATCAACCTGAAACGGTATTAACCTGTCGATCATTCAGCAACATTTTTTTTTTTGGAAATAGAAGTTATCTGAGCAGTAATTTGGGAGGTTCTGGGTTGAAATCCCTGTGGCCATTTCAGCCTATTTGTTATATTTTCATCAACACTGTCAGTGAGGAGAAAAGCAGTGTGCTGTAAGCTTTCATGCCTGTTGTTGAATAAGAAAAACTGTCCTGGGCTTTCTGTAGCCCTTACCGCTGTACTGACTGACCATGCTTAAAATTCAATTGGTGTTTGACTCAGAAAGCAAACGCCTTGCATCTACTGGCATGACATTTGATAGTCTGCGGCTTGTATTGATGTGTTAATCGGGATCTAAAAGTTTGTGCTAATGCAATGCCATTTTTCTTTTATCAGGCAATAACAATGATACTTGATGATGACATGTGAAGATAATAAAAATGTTTCTCAGAGAATGGTTCCAGTCAGCTTGTTCAGATGCTATGCTCAAGTAAATATGATAATAGTGGCACGTGACTAACGAGTAACAACAGTAAACACTTTACTTAGGCTGTCATTTGAAGGGTTAGCGATCACGGTAGTATCCATAGCGGGAGGTAACATTACACGTCATGCATTCTGACAGATATTCTTTTCTTTTTTTAATTTCTTTTTTATGTTCTCACTACACCATTGTAATGTCAACAGCTCGCCCCGTTGGTAAGTAACCATCCTTCTATCCATTTTAGCATGGCTTCATGCAATGCTTCATCTTTCATTTGCAACAGCATTTAACTGGCTGAAATTAGCAGCCGGTGCTTAATAGTCTTAACTGTCTAACACCAGGCAAGTGATTTTGACTGATGAAGTGCTATTTCTGAACTTTGTGTTTTCTGCTGTGTCATGTATAAATGCATTTGCCAAATCACCAACAAATACCAATCAGTAAAACGGGGTGGGTGTGGTGATACTGAGCCAAAATCACTCATTTAACAGTCTATTGAAGGGCCTGGTATAAAAGCCATTGAAATCAACAGAAAGGATTGTATTGACTTCAGTGAGCTTCTACCAGGCCCTAAACGATCAGTTCATTACGCTTTTATTGCATAGCAGTAAAAGCACAGGCTTTGCATGTCCTGTCTTTCTTGTACCTTTCAAAGAGTTTTGAAATGAAGTAGTCCTGAAATTGAAGAGGGGATGGAGTAGATTTCCGTGCTTGTTAAGAAAGTTCATCATTGATTTTTGCCCTTGGGTCATCTTGAAGTGCATTTTGGAATGCACTGTGTAGGATGCAGATTGTTTTGAATAAAAATTCCAGAGGAAGACAACCTCTGGATTTTGAATTCCAACACTGAAAATCTGATTTTTTCCTATGCCTTTGAAATTACTTCTGAAAATTTATTTAGTGAAATCTGAGCATAATGGAAAATTTGCAACTGTCAGTAGCCGAAATTCACTTTTGGTGTTCAGAAATATCCTGAAAATACTATTTAATTTTCTTTCACGGATGTTTACTCTGTGCCTATACAGATTTTCTAAATAATTTAACCAGTTGCACTGCTCCTCTGATTTTTGTAGTTTGTGTTTAGGTGTATCTTTTAGAATAATAATATGGTTACTCTGATTTTTTTGGATTAGTGTGAAAAGTCAGTACTGGTGTTTATGGAGATTGCTGAGGGATTTGGTCTGTCTTTATTTAGTCAAAACTTTCATTAGATATGTGTTTGTCTAAAGTTTGTGAGTTTGAACTTGTCTCAGCCCTTCACTGTTATTACTTTGGAGGAATAAAAATTGGAATAATTTAAATATAAAATCCAGGTTAGACCTCTGTTTCCAGAACTAACGTGATTCCATGCTTATTAGCTTACTTGAACTAGCATACGTAGAGCCAAGCTAAGTACCTCCGCAGTCATGGCATGGCTTATCCACACCTGGAGAATTCCCTGTGCAGAATGGAAATTCACTGTTCCCCATTTGGGATTTTGATAGAAGCTTTAAACCCCAGTCACTACTGTATTACTTTGACATTATACTAATTCTCAGGAAATTAGTAAGCTAGTAAGAAAATTTTCCTTTGCTTAGAAAATATAGTATGAATTTAGTATGCTTCTAATGTAAATCGTCTGTTAGGAAGGGGGTTATGTTATGGCTGTTTCTTCATTCACTAAGAAAATGCTACAAGACTAAAAGTATTTTACTTCTAAATATTTTTCTCATGTTGCTCACTCTTATAAGAAAGGCACGAAAAAAAATTACGAAGTAGAGACTGAGGCTCTGTGAAAGCCACATAAAATAGATGACTGGCGATTCATAAGAAAATTATAGGTTTCAGCAGTGTTGATGGTGTCTCGTTTCAGAACACTGATTCTTTTTTAAGACTTTTCAGGCCATTGAGTCATCCATGATTCCATCTCCAAAGCTTATACAGAAGCCCTTGGTCTCAAGTTACTTTATGTTCAGGTATATGATCCTCTTGCGTGAGCATGATGTGGTCAATTTGGCATATTCTCTGCCTACACTATTTTATTTTGTTGCAAATGAACATCTGGTACAAAGAAAATTCTTCTTTTACATGATTTATTCAGGAACCATAAATTAGAATGGTTGACCTTAAAATAATTATTATATGGGCATATGTTCTTTCTCAAATTATTTAATTTAGTGATTACTGTTGATAAGTAAGTAAGTCCAATCCCAAAGATACTTAACATATAGAACTCCCATAGAAGTGTGTAAGTAGTGATTGCTGAGTATATGCAGATAAGTTTCTTTAGATCACTTTTATCTGATCCTGTACCTGTAGAAAGGCAATGCTGTCCTTATGGTAGTATATACCTTAATTATTTTTTGTTTAAGGAAGGACCTGAAATGAAACTTATTTCTACAGTTCATATCTCTGTTTGATTCAAGAGTAGACAAAGCAGGTGGCTACCTATCCTGTTTTTTTTTTAAATTTAAAGCTCAGTAAGGCAAAACAAAATAAATTCCCTCTCCACCACCAGTTTTCCACAAAGAAGCCCAAGTGATCTTCTGTTAAAATTGTCATTTGACAAGAATGGTGAGTCAAATCTTGTAGTGTTTTTTTGTTCAGGAATTTAATTGGAGCGCAGAGCAAGAATACCTCTCCTTACGGAAAGGAAGCTAAAACAAACACTACTTAATGTTATTAAGCTCACAGCTCTCTAGGAGGGTGACATTTTAACAGAAGTATATTTACATATTTATGTATACGTTAAACTGCAGGAGAGCAGTTTAAAAGTTTATATTCTTTCATAACACCTGAGAATTACCTAGATACCTCTGCCTTTCATCGCTACCTCCAATTGAAAGCAGACATGTTTTGTCTCTATTGTGTTTTAAACAAGACCAAACCATTTTCTTTCAATGGCTTGTCACTGATGAAAAGAGAAATGTATTTTTAATGTTCGAGGATTGCAATTTTTGTTGCAAACAGAATCATTTTCATTTTCTATTCAGTTTTTGCCTGTTTCAAATATTTATATTCTGCTAGTTGTGATATTTTTATTTAAATTTCAGCCTGAGTGGAAAAATCAGGAGTGGGATTACCAATAACCATGTTTGATTCAAGCAGTTATTAACATATGGTATATACTACATAGACAAAATGAGATATGGTTCTACATGAGGTGGATGGCAGCTGGTGAATTTAGCAGTTCTATTCCAGATTACTCATCATGTTTGGATTTGCTGCTAGGAATAGATGTGTTGCCCATTTCTAAAATAGATATTCTCTTATTTATAACCTTTTGAAAAGATTTTTGACAGGATTTACAACAGATGGGTTTAAGAAACAAGATATTTATCCCTATTTAGAGCATTTTTATTGCTATTTCACTCATTAGATGAATTTCCCAGATGAACAAGTTCGCATTTTCTCATTGTCACATTCTGCTGTATTTCTTATGACAGTTGGGCCAGAGAATAACTGCTAAAAGAAGCACAAAAGTTGGGACCAGCCTGTAAATTTCATATAGTCCCACTGAAAGTAACGCTGACCCTCGTTTCAAAAGCAGTTGCTATACTGCTTTGAGACAGAGGACTTAAAGTTCAAATAAAAGATCTATGAGGATGTGTCTGATGTTTCAGTTACCTTTTTACTAGTCATCCAAAAACTCATTCATATGATAGAGTACTCAGTTTTCAAACTAATTTCAACTAAGTCCAAGTGAAAATGCAGTTCTTCGCATTTCAGTTGCCTTGCAATAGATCAAGTTTACTTAATTTATCATCATATGCTATGAGTCATCTTCCCAGAAAGAAGTGACGTGCAGCAAATAACTAGATACTTTTGCCACCTGGATAGAAATTAAGTATTTGGAATTAACTAAGGAAGTAAAGGGAGACAAGCCAAGTTACAAAAACTCCACTTCCCTACCACGTTGGGGAAGAGAGAAATAGATAAGACAGTTGCCATGAATTTTCCAAATTTCATATTAATTAAATACTCATATTATTTGCATTTCATTCTGCTCTGGGAAGTTTTCAGGACATAAATCACCCTGGCATGACTTAATGGTCTATTAAGAGTGATGCAAAATGAAACATAAAATAGAAAGGGCTCTATTTTAAACAAAGTTCTATTAGGTGTTGTGACTAGAAATTGTCTTGTTCAGATGGTTCAAATTGGTAAATGGGAAAGATCTCTTTTTATTCTTCTCCATTCTGACTCTTGCAGAGAAAGTCTATGTAGGATGAATGCTTTTCTTTTAGTATATTCATGAATATATCACCTTCATCTGAGACACTGAGGATTTATAAAATATCAGTAATGGCGGTCGGTGTGTGACAGAAGAGATGAGATCATGCTTCGCACTGTAGTGTCATCTTTCAGTGGCAGAAATCTCAAGTCTTTATAAAATTGTGATATGTTGCCTGTCTGCCTGCTGCTACCACCTATAGAAATTTTCAGAAGAGGGTAAGGACACCAGTGCACATTAGGCTTTTTGGATTTGTTTCTTCCTTAAGTGAAAGAATAATGCATCATTCTTGTTTAAAAATAGGGAAATTCTTCAGATTAAAGAGAAAAAGTTGCCACAGAATGAAATTCAGAATTCTTTGTATCCCAGGAAAAGATTAAAATATGGAACTTTCTTGTTCTGACATTTCCTAACCTTTTGAAGACCAGTCTAGAAATCATGAAATCCTTAGCATTTCTACTTTGGCAGAAGTCCACTAGCTGAACTTAAACTGGAATACTATAATGACTTCAGATTTCATAGAAATATAAAATCTTCAGTATATGGGCCAGAATGGCTCTGCAAGTGAACATTGAGCACATTAATCACCAAGCATTTAAGTGCTGGTCCACAGTACTCAGCTTCATTTCCAGCTGTTCCAAGTCTTCTTGGGTATGCCAGGTAGTGGTCAGAACAGAAAGGCAGAAGATCTGGTCAGATAATTCTTCTTCAATGGTAAGTGTGAAAAGTGGCAGTGTAGGTACTTGAAGTTTTAGCACGTTGTACTGTGACGTCCTGGCTCATTTCACTCTGGCACCAAGTATGTGCCAGCACTCATACTGTTTCTCCAGGAGAAAACCCAGGTAAAGCAAGTGCAAGAAGTGATCAAGCACCTGCCTTGTTTTTTTTAATTTTTATTTTTTGTGGTTGAACTCTAGCTTGGGAAAGTTTTAACAAGTTGAATGTGTAAATATTTTTTAATTTTCCCAAAGCATGCTCAAATCAGTGGCAATTGTTTTCTTA